TTTATGGGAAATTTTGCCCCTCTGTAGACATGAATAAAATGACAAGTAATGAATTGTTTATATAACAGAAAATCACATCTATTGTTTCCACACACTTCTAAGGCCCATGTCCTCCAAGAAGTATGACATAATGTTTTTGCCAATCAATATTTGATTGAGGAAGAAATTAAGAGGAGACTGATTTTGGGTAATGCTTGCTACCATTCAGTCCAGAACCTTTTGTCTTCTTGTCTGCTGTCTGGAAACATAAAAATTAGGACATACAAAACTATAATTTTTCCTGTGGTTCTGTATATGTGTGAAACTTGGTCTCTGACATTAAGGGAGGAACATAGACTGAGGGTGTTTGACAACAGGGAGTTGAGAATATTTGGGCCAAAGAGAGAACATTGGAAAAACTGCATAATGACGAGTGTCATAACTTGTACTCTTTGCCAAGCATAATTAGAATGACCAAGTTGAGGAGGATGAGATGGGCATGGCATGCAGCACGAATGAAGAGGAATGCATACAGGATATTGGTGGGAAAGCCAGAAGGAAAGAGACCACTAGGAAGACCAAGATGTAGGTGGGTGGACTGCATTAAAATGGATCTTGGAGAGAAAGGATGGGGTGATATGGATTGGATTGATCTGGCTCAGGATAGGGACCAATGGAGGACTCTTGTGAACATGGTAATGAATTTTCATTTCATGCATCGTGTTATGTTACAATACAGGGTGTCCCAGGAGGAATGGACCAAACTTTGGGAGGGTGTTCCTTATGTTAAAGTATGCCGATATAACCCAAAACACCTATGTCCAAAGTTGAACGGTTACGGAGATAATGGCCCAAGAAAAGTGTGGTCTTCTTGCAGGTTCACGCACTATACGTACCTGTCAGCTGAGACCCTTATCTGTTTGTCCTTGAGTGCCGTGAGTCACTAGCCGTAAGTTCATGTGCTACCTACCAGAGCCTACAGATTACGTTGCGGCGGGGTCGTGAATGGGTGGTAAATTAGTTGTGTGATGAGTTGCTGAAATGCCTCTTGTGTTTTCACACGTGGAATATTGTGATATGCATTTTGTGTGTCGATTTTGCGGTCGCAATGCACGTGCTGCTGTTGAAGAATACCAAAGGCGTTTTCCCGATCGAAGAATTCCATCTCGAAGTGTATTTACGCGAATTCACCAGACATTGCGTGATACTGGTTCTCTTGCAAGTGTTTCTGTGCACTCTGAAAGGAGGATGTACGAATGATAAGACACACGAGAGCACAGTCTTGATATTGTTCAGTGAAGTCCGCGTCTATCACTCGTAGAATCGCCTCTCGCATCGGCGTATCACGTATTCAGGTGTGGCAAACTTTACATCATGAAGAGTTATTCTTACCATGATCAAATGGTACAACATCTGGAACCAGGCGACCATGCACAGCGTATGGATTTGTGCCACTGGATAAAAAGTTCATCCCGAACTGTTAAGCGTCATTTTATTCAGTGATGAGGCGTCTTTTACCCTGGATGGTGTAAATAATTTACGAAATGTGCATACGTGGTTCCATAATAATCCACATGAGATAATGGAAACGAAATTCCAAAAGAGATTTCCTGTGAATGTACGTTTACAGTTATGTGGTCGGGTTATAGCGCAGCCATATTACGTCATCGCTCGCCAGTCATGTGTCATGTATAGTGCTTGGAAACCTAAGGACAATTATGACATGGCGAGCGAGTATTTCGTACTTCAATTTTATGGCTTTCCGTCACTCACAAGTTAGTTTGATGTTACGTACATTATTAACATTACAGAATCCACATATTCCTGCCAGTTTTAATATGTATTTTGTAATCAACAAGTGTGTAACACCGGTCAAAGTTTGACACTTCTCTGGCCATTATCTCCGTAACCGTTCAACTTTGGACATAGGTGTTTTGGGTTGTATCGGCATACTTTAACATAAGGAACACCCTCCCGAAGTTTGGTCCATTCCTCCTGGGACACCCTGTATACAACCTCTTTATTACAACCATCACAACACAACTAGTATCAAGATCAGTGCCTGGTTTCACTGCATCTTACAAAGTATTGTCGGTTCTGTAGGGAATCACGAGCCTCCTATACAATTTTTATACACACAAAACATAGAATATTCCAATTTGTCTGTGGGAACGCAACAAATTACAAAATCAACATCTGACTCGATGATGTAAAACATCAAAGGATTTGATTCTTGTTTTATATAATTAATAATATTGTATCCAATTTTACTAGTACTGTGGTTCAGTGGTGTATACAGGGTGTCCCAGGAGGAATGGACCAAACTTCGGGAGGGTGTTCCTTATGTTAAAGTATGCCGATATAACCCAAAACACCTATGTCCAAAGTTGAACGGTTACGGAGATAATGGCCAGAGAAGTGTCAAACTT